GCGAATATCCAAAATGTCTTTTATTTAAGCAAGGTTTTCTTACTCGAATTTCTACTCGTTTTAGGGGCTACGTTGTATTCATCTTGTGGATGATATGAATCAGAGGCATTTTTATCCGGGTCATGTAGCCGGCAAATGATTTTGATTGACGTTCTATTTTAGCTATTTTATTGCCCAGAACGTAAATGTAGTTGATTTCCTGTAAATACAGGTGACAAGTTCGAGAAGGATGAAGTTTGGACTTTCAACATTTACATTCGATGAAATCGTATCGACTTTATTACTTTGACTCCAACATTGCTTGAAGCATTGCCGATTACCTACTCAGCGCTAACCCGGACTCCAAGATTACATATACGGTGGAACTGGAGACAAATGCGATGCCGCGAAACAACGCCATAGAGCCGTCCATGTTCCATTCATGCCACCTAAAGTTAGCCCAGTGACAAAACAAAAACAGAGGAGAAAAACAGCGCCACCTGAGCTGATAACCCTGACTTGGCTGGCGGGATTGAGCCCTCAGCGGTCCCAACTCTGACGTGCAAATGCATTTTCTCCGGTACCAGACTGCAATGTCATACTTCAGCCTGTCAGGCGCACTTTCCAAACGCGAACCACCACTTGAAGGACACTCCCGCATCTCCATGAATTACAGCCTCGTACTCACGCATATACGCATACGCAGCCCGTATCATTTACGCCCGGAGCTCACGATAAGCACCGATGAGCATGCATGAATGGTGAGGGGGTGCGCTTGGAGTCCAACGCTGGTGCGCAGGTACTGCATCATCACCCACCATCTCGGACACCGTTCCGTGCTTCTATCCTCAGGATACTGAAATCCTTCTCCTCCACACCGCAACCCCCCTCCGGGCTGGACAGGCACCTTTATATCATGCGGGCTGCTCCTTCGGAGCGGCACCGCTGCTCCCGAGGGAGCGCACCCCGTAGCCGGGTGCAGTGAGTGCCTTGGGTGGGTGGCCTGTCCTCTGGACGGGCTCAGCCCCGGCGACTCACTAGGGTGCCTGCTCAGACCAATGTCTCTCCCTAATTCCTATCATCCTTCCGGCTCTGCAATGGTCTTGTCAGACCGAAAGGGCCTAACCCAACAAAACAAAACAAACAAACAAACCATCTCGGAGACTCGGCCCCGGCAATATGCTGGTGCGTAGGTTAGAGGGAAGAGTTGGCGCAGTGGATCTTGCAGTGGAGTGGCGCTGAAGGCACTAATACCGATAAGGCTACAGACGGCAGAAGAGCTGTTCATAAACGGCGTCACATAAACCAGAACCGTTCAACTATCCATCTGTCTGCCTGGCTAGACGGTACGGTGTTGGCGCCGCCTCGTCATTGAACCGAGACAGACGCTCTGAGGATGTGATAAGTGTCTGCCATCGGACCTTAATTCGAAATGATTGAAGATAAATGTTTGGTTTACGTGATAAAGTTACGTCAGCAGTTATAACTACAAATCGTTTGCATATTTACGTAAATTGATCCACGAGAAAGACCATTCAGGCTGAAATATTCACCTAGGTAGATGGGCAAATATTCAAAAGCCATGGCATACGGTCGGAACCTGAGATTAATTGCGCATCATTTTCATTTTGTTATAATTATTTGATCACTGGCAAGTGGTTTTTGGAGACCAAGATGGCTTAAGATGGTAGAAGTAATAAGCAGAACAAGTTTAAATACTTGACCCAAGTCACATTTATCAAATGATGATCGGCGACGCTGTATCTTACGTTGAGACACATGGCTGGCAAGCAATGGCTAAGATCGGGCTCAAACCTGAAACCGTCCCACCCTCCACGGTGTGACGTGTCGGAACATTCTGGTGTTGGCGTCGTTCTCATTCCTCGGTGACGGTTTGTTCATCCATTCACCGATCAGTGACGCAGTGAATCACTCGGGGGGCGGCCCACCGCTCCCGGTCGGCCGGGTCTGTGACCTGTGTCGAGTCTGTCGCCGACGAGCCCGCCGAGGGCCTGGGGTCAGTAGGTGAGCCTGACCCCGGGGAGGGGGGGGGGCTGAGTCAGGCGGGGAGGGGCAGACGGAAATACCGGGCGGCGGCGGCCGGATCCAGCCCGGGACGGGTGGCCGCAGTCTGTCCAGATCCGGATGATAAGTCGCCGGAGCTAAGTGTGAACATGCTCACCGGCACGCAAACATCCGGTCATTCTGAACTTGGTGGCCAGTCTGCGCCCGTCTCTGACAGGATCAGGGTTTCTTCTGGGTGTGCTGCGTATAAGCGACTTGTCAAAAGTGATTCACACTTGGCGACTTCCTTCTCGTTCCGATAGCCAAACACGATCGCTTATGTTTATGCATGTGAACTGGCATGGAACGGTGACCGGAACTTTGGATAGTGACTCATAGGTAATGTCCAATGATGCCTGCTCTCGAATGAAAATGCCCCTTATCCAGCTTCAGTGCGAGGGGAGGGGAGTCGCGCTTGGCGTTCCAACTCCCCGGAACGTGACCGTTTGAATGGTTACGTGGATTACGTGACAAAGTCTGGCGTTAGTCGTTACATTATGAACTGCACGGTATACACGAGACTTAGCGAGTCGCATTTAACCGTCATACCGGTATTACCAATGACCACCGTCCCCCCGCCCCCGCCCTTAAATTTATGAGCAATTCGTCTTAAAACAAAGGTATCCATGATCCATTCCATTTACGTAGGTGCCATCAATGTAATCCTTTATATGAATTGATGCGGCGCTCTTTTAAGCCAGTATTGGCTGTAATTTGCACTATGAACTCTGGCTCTATACCGAAAGCAATTATTACAGTGCCGGGTCAAAGCACTCGTTCCATTGCGTCTATTCAATGGCATAATGACTAGCAGTCGATGAGCAATAACCATGCGCAACGCACATCGTGTGCGTATAATCACGATTCAATATGCACACGGTAGATGATTGCAATTATAGCAATACCACCCACACACTAATCTCCGCGCGGCTGCAAAGCCATTGCCCCCTGCCACATGGTTCCCCGCAGGCGCAAGATGGGTCCAGCCTTGGACCCAGACCACACTCCTAACAATCTTACCTCAAATCGAGCCCGCCCACCATGTCTTCCAACACACAGGTAGAGAATGGGAGGCAGAGTCGGAGAGGAGAGAGAGAGACGGAGAGAGCTCACGACATGTACTAAAATTACCATCGGCACCGCGTCGACGCCTGCGCGCGTGTAATGGGCTTTCTAGACGCATGTGCGTCGGGATGATTGATGATGGCTAGGTTGTTGGCGTGGGTGGGTGGCGGCCGGGTCTCCTGGGCGGCTCACTTTACACCCTGCCTGCTGAGTCAGCTGATGGGGAACGGGTTGTGCGGACCGCCAGGTGTGCGTGAGTTGGTATAGGGAAGCGGCAGAGACGACTGGAGTGGCTATTACTACAACCAGACGTGACCGCGACGTCGTCCATGAGATAGCGCCGTTGGGAGGGTGACTTTACGACGGTCTACTGTCGTAAACGCCGACTGAAGGTGCCCTAACGATGGCGAGGGACGGGGCGAACAATACAGCCGGGTGGTAGGCGGATGGGTCCGGAGCTGGGACAGGTGGTTCGCTCAGCGTATACTCGCTGCCCTGCGGACCACACCTAAACCACACTCCGGGCCGGCGCGCCTGTTCGCTAACTGCACTGTCGGATGAAGATGGCCGGTATGACGAGTCATCAGGATACGTTCAAAATCGCGCAGCGGCTGGAGAAGTGATGTGTTAGGGGCTGTGTTGACCCAAACGTGGCCCTCTCGTCAAGTCTGGTGGCGGGGTGCGTTCGGAGTGACTGGCTGCGGTCGGCGGCCTCGAGGCGGCAGAAATCTGCGCACAAAAACGGGATTTCGCAGGCAGACTCTCGAACAATCTGCCTCGCAAAAACCACTGTGTTAGTGTGTTTATGTCATTCGCTGCGCGTATCTCATTTCCAGAGGTGTTTGAAATGACGCCGACGCTGTAACTCTCCGCCGACTTAGAGAAAACTAGCAAATTACATAACTCAGCCGCGACTTGGTTTACTATGCGTGTACACTGTACTGAAAACATACCTTTGAGCTTCGAGTTTGACCTTAGTTCGATATTAAAGGGCGAGGTGGTTGTGAAGAGAGGAGAGAGGGAGAGGAAGCAAAATGGGCGGATGGAAAATTTGATGAATCTTTGTTGGAGTTGGCGCTCGATTGCCGTTCTGAACAAAAGCCGTTTTCACGACGGGCTATCCGGCGAATGCACCTGACTTGACCAAATCTGCACCTTATTTCTTTTACAGCAAATATCTTCATTTTATGAATTTATTTCAGTGTTTTAATCGATGATACTCTCTGATAATATGACAAAGCAGGCATATAAGCAATTAGTGCAACCCTAGCTGATAGCTGCTAAGAGACACACTGAACCTGATTTGACCAAATCTGCACCTAATCTGTACCAGATGTGCACCAAATGTGTACCAGATGGCCGTCGTGAAAACGGCTAATATTCACTTGGATCGTACCTGATCTGAACAGTGGCCCGAACACTTTTAACCGGCTGACCGCACCCTGTCTGACCGTCTGACCTTATCTATTCGGCTCTTTCGACGGTACCACGTCTGGCCGTCTAACCGTGTCTCGTTCAGTGGCGGATCCAGGGGGGGGGGCAAAATGGGCATTTGCCCCCCCCCAAACGGCATGATTTTAACATTACGCCTATGGACGATGCATGGAAAGAATCGATACATTTTTATGGTTTGCCCCCCCCCCAAACCTCTGAGCTGGATCCGCCTCTGGTCTCGTTTGACCGTCTGATCGCATCCCGTCAGACTCTGTCTTGTCTGATCGTGCAACGTCTTATCTTTCGACGGTACCTCATCTGACCGTCTGATAGTACCTTATCTGACCGTTCCTCATCTTACCGTCTGTTCGTACCGGCGATCTAACAATCCAACCGCGCCTCATCTGGCCTGTCCACTATCGATCGCTCTGACATCGCGCGTACCTCCGTTCCCCCAGGAGACAGAGACGAGATGCTGACCAAAATGATGCTCGACGTAGCCAAGCACAGCTGTAGCAAGCCAGCGCTCGAGCTCGTCTCCGTGGCTCACGAGCACCCGAACCCGAGCGTCTCCTACGTGCCGTCCAGCGTGCTGCTAGCACGTTGCAGCGACCGCACCGGCTGCTGTGGCGACGAAGTCAGAAGCTGCGTCTCCAAGACTCATGTCACTGTCGAACTTCCCGTCCTGGTGAGCAGGAGGTGTCGTATGGGGAGGGGGGGGGGGCTGAGGAATGCTTGATGAAGCTCTCAGGGCTTGGGTGGGGGTGGGATGGGGGGCTGGTTGAGAGGTAACGCTTGTGATGAAAGAGTGAATTTGTCCCTTGTTCTTAACTTGCCTCTGTACCGAACGTGATGAGTCTGTTTTAGAAAACGGGTTAATGCATGGCTGCTTAGTCAAAGGGCTAAGTAATGGCGAGGAAGGCATTGATTCTAATTTAGAACCGGACATTCTGCCTTCTTTAACCTCTACCTTGAATTTGGACCGGCTATTAAAGGAAACCAAACCTCCTTTTCACAGGTGAATGTTCTCTCAGGAAACACGGGCAGCTCTTTTCAGTATTTGACTTTTAGAAACGACACCGAATGCGAATGCTTGGATAAGAAGGAAGTGGCAGTGCGGACTGACGAATGTCCCATGAACCTGCAGGCCAGTGACGACAGGTAGGTTCTGAACCATGAAGTCAGTGCGGATAGTGTTGTGACCCTGCCAACTAGGGATAAAGAGCAGCTTTGCGTTGGATATCGCGCAGTATCTAATTTATTTTGATGCGCCAATGCATTTTAATTCGGCGTTATGAAAACATTAGCGAGACATTGGATTGAGAATAGCGTGGTGTTGGTCTTAGAGTGATTTTAGCCTAAATAGGGACTCGGTGTGTCACATCAGAGTAAAAAGTATTTGTTTTCCATCGATCCATTAATGAAAAATGATTATGAATAATGATCCAATGCTTTTCAGTGATACTCAAGGAGCTACACACAGAAAAAGGCACAGCAAACAACAGAACAGGAGCAGCAAAACAGAAAAATCAACAGGAGCAACGTAAGTAAAATATCATTTTTGCGTTTTGATCGGTTGTCCGACTCGTTATATATCACTTGGTTGATGTATGTACCTACTAAGTACATCATTTACTTAAGCATAATTTTCTAAAGTTGTAGGTACTTACGTCAGCGCTAAACATGGAACTTATTCGGTATTGTGGGCCTCACCATTCTCCAACATGGAAAGATGCTGCTGTTACTCTTACCACTATTTTAAAGCCTGAACAATATCCGAGTCGGGAATACGGGCCACTTTTTTAGCTGTTCTAGTTATAGCATTTTGAGCTTGAGCTTGGAACTAATCCTTTTTTAAGAAGGCCTATTCAGCGAATAGTGTGCGTGTACCAATATTTTATATGCAATAACAATGCTCAATCATGACCACTGTATAGGTACGCTTTCTGAACTCAGCTTTAGCGCCATTCCAGTTGACCAATGTCATGTGTTCACTGATGACGCCTTGTCACAGGTGCCAATGCACAGGCGAGTTCGCTCCGCGCATTCTGCCCAGGGGACGCTGCAAATGCGACTGTTTCGTCGGCAACCGCAAGTGCAAACGGATACAGCGCGGCAGAGTCCATGTGTCAGAATCCGATAACAGGTGAGAGAGAGAGAGAGAGAAAAAAGAAAGAAAGAAAGAAGAGAGAGAGAGAGAGAGAGAGAGAGAGAGAGAGAGAGAGAGAGAGAGAGAGAGAGAGAGAGGGGGGGGGAGATCCGGCACGGGGGCACTCTCAGCATACCGAGATATCTGTTCTTTACGCAGAACTGTGTACAATGCAGGTACATACATACAAGGTTCGCCAATACACAGAACTATGTATAAGGTCCGCCAAGAGTGTGGCCTTCCTCCCTATAATTTAGTTGCACGCTGATACGCTGGCGTCCTTGCTATTGCAGGATTGCGTGTGTTTTTGCTGTAACGGAATCCAATTTCCATGTCATTTAGGACTCCGTCCGCAGTCGTTTACATGGCTATGTATTTGCGCGGTAGTTTGCAGAAACAAATAAACGCGCTCAAATTGTCTTACTCTGTGTCAAACATTCTCATTCGATATTCAACACCATTCTTAAGCAGCATCTTCTTTTTATGCTTATAGAGTGTGGTTAATTTTATGGAAACACTTTTTAAAGTTACAACTTGACATGGCTATTGACCAAAGTAACCGTATAGTCGCTGTCATTTGGTACGTATCTCATAACGTGGATGACCTCTACATATACCTATATTATGCTTCTCGTTACTCTACAATAAAGATTCGTTCTAGAGATGTCAATCGGATACCAACTTTTTGGTATACCGATACCAAACCGATACCAACTTGGTATTTGGTATTTTGTTGGTATCATGAATCGTCACTAATATATAAGAGGTTAAAAGAAATCGGTAAAAAGTTGGTATTTCTCTCATGTTTCCAAGTTGGTTTGGTTTCGGTATTTCCCCATGGTTTTGCTTGATATTTGGTTTGGTATCGTATTCCGATTTTCCGTAATTGACATCACTAATTCGTTCCAATCAGCTACTCTCAGCTGAACTGTGTGACTGATGACTGAGCGTTACATGAGCATGTGTCACCGATACTTTGCTCCATATTAGCACCACTAAACCGGTAACTCTGTTCCATAGGTGTATCGTGCAAGGCGACTGCAAAGCGCCTGTATGCCGCTACGGCAAATACAAGCGCACCCGTAGTCGCTGTCCTCGCCGGAAAGGTGAATTTCGACGAGACCGCTTCGTCGTCTGAAGCAGCCAATACCATCGCGACTGCAAGGTCAAGGTCAATGCTGACCCAATCAGAACTGAGCGTGTCACTGACGCGCGCGTGACGTCACAGTGATGTCATTCATGACGTGAAAGTGCGTCACGATACCACCGCCGGGAGAACAGCGGAGCGGGAGAGTTCCCCGCCAGTCCCGAGGGCAGAGTACGATCTGCTGTATAGTGATCTGAGCTTGTTGGTGATGCAGTGGAACCGGTGGATGAACCCGCCAGGGACGGGGGAGGGAGGGTTACATCTCTCCGTCTACCGTTATTTGGCGAGACGTTTTGTGCTTTTGGAGGGCTCGGCACTGGCTGTGTGCCGTCGTTTTTCCAAGGGTTTCGCTTCGGTCTGACGTACTCGTATTGTGTAGATTGGTAGTTGACGTGTTGTGTGTAGATCCATGTTGCGTGAAGTGTAGATGCGTACCGTTAAAAGAGCCAGCCGAAGGACGCATGCTCTGCCGTTTGCGCAGTGCGCTACTCGAGTCTGCTGTTATGTATGTGTTTGTGTGTGTGTGCACGTGCGCTCGCGTGTGTATATTATGTACGTGCAAATATGTGGAATGCATGCTTGTTTCGGAAACAGAAGCAGCTAATAAAAAGTTTGAGGAGCGGCCACGCTTCAAGTTTTAGCGAAAACAACTGATGGCTGCTTTGATGAAAGCATGTCTTCAGGCGGTGCCTGCGACCGCATCGTACCGTTGCTGGGGTTACCAACGGTTTGAGTGCGCCATGCGTTATATTGTAATACAATGCAGGTTGACCACGTCTTGTGCCGTTCTCATAAACGTTTTAATATATTTCCAGCGATGCAGACCGATTGTTGTGTTTCATTCGCAAACTGATATCTCAACCATGCGAGAAGAACGGCAAAATGAAAAATCGGGCGTTGTTGTTTGAGCTAAATAGACGTTTTCCAGCATGGAACCGATTCGACAAAATCCAGAAATGAGTTGTAAGGCGTAGTAAGTCAAGTAATTCGTGTTGGTACGAGTGCGATTCTTATTCAACCGAAAAACAGCAAACCCTTATCAGCCCGAATGATCGAAACCGAGACTTGTTAAAAAGGCGCAGGTTGTCCTTAAATACCGTACCAAGCTGTTTTTGCTTTATTCGCTCGATTAACTCGAACATCTAATTTGCATTTTAAAATGTTTAACAGCGTGAAGACGGTTACGCTCGTAAGTTGTGAAGTTTGATGTTATATGCTTGACGATTTATTAGATAGCTGCCTGCTGCTCACATTTAAGTCCGTGTTGAAATTGTTGTAGCTGTCCGATCAGCAGCAGGCATCCTTCCGGCAATGGAAGATGACATCGGCTAAGCATAATCGGCACTGGAGTCAGGCCGCCGACCGGGCTGTTGGCTGAGGCAGTTTCGGGGGGGGGAGAAAATGCTGCTTAGCTCTGGATCAAACTCTGGAGTATAAAAACTATTAGGAGCATAAATAAGGGCGCAAATATGGAAATATAGTCGTTTTTTAGCTCACCGCTCGGACCCACAGCCCACAGGTTCATCCCTCAGTCATGCAATGCAACTAGCAGCGTCATCTGACTATCCTCGTACACCACCCACAAACCTCTACGTCTCTCATCCACCGCTAGATGTCAGTGCTAGCCTCTGTGTAGCGGCAGTGGACATCGATTGGCGGCGCGCGCCGGGGGTCGGCCGCTGCGCCGTGTGTCGTCTGGTCGGCGGGGAGGGGCGCGCGGGGGAGGGGGCGGGCCGTGGCCGGCGACCGTCGGTGGCCGCGCAGACTGTGCCGCCGGCGGCGGGAGGGGACGTGTCGGCCGCTCCGGCCAGAATCGATGCGGTGATGTGCGGTGCTGCGGTGACGGCCGACGGTTCAGCGGAGAGTGCACGTGACCGCGCCGGGCGCGATGAGTGAGACCGAGCCGGCCGAGGCGGGCCGCCTGAACGGCGTGGGCCGGCACCTCTCGATGGGCGGTGAGCCGCCGCCAGAGCCGCGGCCGGCCCAGAAGCCGCTCAGAAAGACCAAGTCGGTGTCGTTTCACAGTGCTACGTGTCTCAGGAGCGAGCGGAAAGTCTCCAGTGGTGAGTGCCAAATCGGCCGGGTGTTCCGGCCCGCCGCCCCCGGGGCAAAGGTCACTGGTCTGCTGCAGTGACCGGTGACCATGGGCACCAGGGGAGGCGGGACTGTCTGGAGCTGCAGGACAGCTCGCAGTTGGGATTTTACACCAGTGTTGGTCCAAGTTTTGTCTGTTGCTAGCTTGCTAATACTCGTAATCTCTGTCCGCTGTTCAACAGTTCAGCATGTCAAAAGTTCTGTGTCAGCTTCCATCGATCAATTATTGTATGTCAATGTCTTCAGTACCTCTTCACTTTGCAAAGGCGTTTACAGTTAGCTGCAAATCTCATGTTTATCTCGCCGCATGTTAAGATCATGTCGGTATCAGTGTCACCGATATCAACCTTTCATCAGTCACTCGGAAAACACTTCAACTTCCCGCCGGCCATTCGTCAACCACCAACTCAACGTCAACGGCCAACCGTCATTCGCCATCCGTCATCCACCAACCGTCATCCTCAAACCGTCATCCGACACCTCACGGCCCTGTCACCCCGTCAACTTCTCAGTTCAAGTCAACACATCGGCTGGCGCCTGGTAAGCCGGTCACCAGCCACCGTTTCAACTGTTTATCAGGTGCCAAAGGAACAATCAGTTGCCTTCCGAGTAGAATTTGATCAGCGGGTAGGTACCGGTGGGTGTCCTTCGAGCATGGTTTCACTCCCATCAACTTCGCTGTTGTTGGTGATGCAGCCGTCACCTAGCCCTTTTTTCGTAGCTGAGGCCGTAGTAGGTCGCGCGGGTCCTATCTTGGTCTTTTCCGCCCGCCTATAGTGCCGCGTGCGTGGGAAGAGTGTTTAGTTTATGCCCGCGCTCCTGCGCCCGATCAGGACTCGGGCCCTGCAGTCGGATCGGGAGTTGGATCGCGAATCGCGGTCGTCATTGGCAACTGTCATCATCTCGTGCAGCCGCCTGCTCCTACATTTCCGCGAACGGGAAACGGCCAGGCGCGGGGCGCACTCGTTCTGAGAGGGGAGGGGGCGGGCACAGGACGGGGAGCTGTGCGGGTACAGCAGGACGAGAGAGGGGGAGGGGCGCACTCGCTGACTGAGCGGAAGCAGACGATCCAATGTCGTCACTCATCGGACGCGAGCGGGACTGGTCGAGTCACGCATGTGAGGACAGATTGGCGTCTGTTCGGTACCGTCGCAGGGCCTCCTCTAAGGATTTTTCACTGGGTGGGCAAAATTTTCGCTACTCCCCTGCCCAAGGGTGGATCCAGCCACTGTTTTGGGGTTCAACCAATTTCATAACCTGTTACCGGGGGGGGGGGGGGCGGGGGTGAGGCGAAATAAGCAGTGCCGTTATTGGAAATAAGATGATAGTTTGCAAAGTTAACGTTTGTCGTATGTTTTATGGTTAGCAATCAGGCGCGCACACAGGATTTTTGAATGGGGGGGGGGGCACGACCTTCGAACTGGGCCCCCCATGCCGAAGGCCCCCCCCCCCAAAAAAAAAATACGGCCCACGGGGCTATATTTCGGTTGGTTTGAAGCTTGAGCAATTGGTTTGTCAATGCATGGTAAAACAATTATTTCGGTACCAGCTTAATTTTCAAAACATATATATGTTTACGCTGGGCTGTTTTTTCTCAAATGCGACTCTGAGCCGGTACATATACCTAATCATCTAATTTATTACGTAAAACATTTCATTAATAAACATTTTTGCAGGTCCCTCAGAAATCAGCCCCGGGCAGCGACTGACTGCCGGCCGGCCGACCGGCCCCGGGTGGCTAGAAGCAGGGGCCGGTCACTGTTTGGCCCGGATGTGTAGGAGCGGGAGCAGCACTCCTTTTTCACGTATATTCGCATATTTTTTTAGGCACATCGACATGAAATGTCATTATATCTGATACGATGCGGGATCACAGACTAGAGATCCAGCTTATAACTTATATTTAATGCTTAACCAATGAATCAAATCAACAGGACTATGTACGATGCATATCGGACACGTACCCAGAATTTCGCCCAAGAGGGGGTCACCTGCTGGTCACCTGACCCCGGGCCCGCGAGTCACCCGGGCGCCCGGGGTCAGCTCAGGCAAGGATGTACCCAGGACCTTTCGATGGGAGGAGGGAGGCACGGTGGGTCCAGTCTCACTGGCAGACGGGTCTCTTTAAAACGGTCTTTGCATGAGAAAATGTGGAAAATTGGCAAGCAAAAGTATCATTTATGCCCGAGGAGTGTGCCTAATGTACACTAATGCCTAATTTACATGGTATTTTACGAGCGAGCGAAGCGAGCGAGCTCCTCAGAGTCACCGGTGTGTGGCGCGTTCAGAGGTGCCACTGAAAGGCCGTCAGATGCGCTGGTGTTGGGTCCTCACAGGCGCCGTTGCGGGGTCTTAGGGCTTAGAGACACTGGTGGGGCCATCATTGGCATGTGTGTGGCCCTGCAAAATGGCCTGCAAGTGGAAAGTGGCCCGTCATAGGCTGGCAAGGACACTCGGAGGCTGGTAAGAGGCCCTCAGAGTCACTGGTACGCGGCCCTCAGAGGCGTCGGTGTAGGCCCTTAACCCGCGCCCTGCTGGGGGGGGGGGGGTGTTTGAACACCCCCCCCCCCTTGTGGTTTTTCGCGAATATTTCAAAAACGGCGGCGCGGAGCGCCGCCGTTTTTAGTACACCTTATCATACATCAATTCTACACATGTTGTGAAAATTTCAGACCAAGGTCATTCAAGGTCAGGTCACCAGGTCACTTGAAGTGACCTCACCTCATAAAAAGTTTCAATGTCTGTCATAGCTACACCGAGTGACCGATCGCTTTGAAACTTTCAGCGATTGCTAAGAGCAATAGCATGTACAAAATGTATATCTCAGAATTTTGATATCGATGACCTAAGGTCAGGTCAATTTTGCGACCTCCCCATTATAAGTCAATGGGAGAAAATTGAAATGCGCCTCTTTTGGACGAAAGACATTATAAACACTCCCAAACACTGAATTACAAGTGGTTTAGACACACTGAACATGAAAATGGTGTCCGTGACCCCTGTTTATGCCCTGAGGTCATCTTAGGTCACGAATGGTATCTAACAGTTTTTCGCAAATAACTTTTGATAGAGGCATGCTAGAGCGATGAAAACGCCTTAGATGTATTCAGCTCAACGATACGGATCGACTGATATGCAACATGACCCTTTCCGGTCAGGTCATGACCTTGACCTGAGGTCAAATTTTCAAGTTGACCTTTCAAGGTCAAGTTATAGTTCATTCGATGCGTCTTGACGAGAGGAACACGATGCCGGTAAAAGTGAGCTCGCACAAGGCTTGGGTCAAAAGTTATTGCAGAAAAACTGTTTCCGAACAAATCGGCTATTTTTGCAGTTTTTGCCCCCTGCAGGTAAAACCGTTGACGTTAGGTCAAATCTGAGAACAATACTCAGAAAGGGCGTTAATAGGGCTATCGAATGCGCTTTTCCGCGGCGCTGTAGCTCTATTGGTTCCCGAGTTATGCGTTGGCTTCTTGGAAATTGTCGACATTCGACCTGAAAATCGGCGAAATTTTGCCTTCAATGACCTCTGGTGACCTGACCTTTGACCTGACCAAAAAATTGACCGAAGTGATTTCCTCATTATTTTTGGCGCTCTTTCGAACGCCGCCTTCCGCGTATCGCTACGTGGCCCAGGAGCCGATTTAGAAGGGAGGGTGTTCAAACACCCCCCCCCCCCAGCAGGGCGTGGAAATCCAGGACCCCCAGCAGGGCGCGGGTTAACCCTCGCCC